TCAAGGCTCTGTTACCCATCAAGACATAACCTGTGTTTGTAATAACTTTCTAGGCTCAGTTGCCCATCAAGACATCACTTTTGTTCTTAATAACGTTCAAGGCTCTGTTACCCATCAAGACATTACCTGTGTTTGTAATAACGTTCAAGGCTCTGTTGCCCATCAAGACATAACCTGTGTTCGTAATAAGGTTCAAGGCTCTGTTGCCCATCAAGACATAACCTGTGTTCGTAATAACGTTCAAGGCTCTGTTACCTATCAAGACATAACCTGTGTTCGTAATAACGTTCAAGGCTCTGTTACCTATCAAGACATAACCTGTGTTCGTAATAACGTTCAAGGCTCTGTTACCCATCAAGACATTACCTGTGTTCGTAATAACGTTCAAGGCTCTGTTACCTATCAAGACATAACCTGTGTTCGTAATAACGTTCAAGGCTCTGTTGCCCAACAAGACATAACCTGTGTTCGTAATAACGTTCAAGGCTCTGTTACCCATCAAGACATAACCTGTGTTCGTAATAACGTTCAAGGCTCTGTTACCCATCAAGACATAACCTGTGTTCGTAATAGCGTTCTAGGCTCTGTTACCCATCATGACATCACTTGTGTTCGTAATAACGTTCTAGGCTGTGTTGCCCATCAAGACATAACCTGTGTTCGTAATAACGTTCAAGGCTCTGTTGCCCATCAAGACATAACCTGTGTTCGTAATAACGTTCTAGGCTCTGTTGCCCATCAAGACATAACCTGTGTTCGTAATAACGTTCAAGGCTCTGTTGCCCATCAAGACATAACCTGTTTTCGTAATAACGTTCAAGGCTCTGTTACCCAACAAGACATAACCTGTGTTCGTAATAACGTTCTAGGCTCTGTTGCCCATCAAGACATAACCTGTGTTCGTAATAACGTTCTAGGCTCTGTTACCCATCAAGACATAACCTGTGTTCGTAATAACGTTCTAGGCTCTGTTACCCATCAAGACATAACCTGTGTTGATAATAACGTTCAAGACTCTGTTGCCCATCAAGACATAACCTGTGTTCGTAATAACGTTCAAGTCTCTGTTACCCATCAAGACATAACCTGTGTTCGTAATAACGTTCAAGGCTCTGTTACCCATCAAGACATTACCTGTGTTCGTAATAACGTTCAAGGCTCTGTCACCCATCAAGACATAACCTGTGTTCGTAATAACGTTCAAGGCTCTGTTACCCATCAAGACATAACCTGTGTTCGTAATAACGTTCAAGGCTCTGTTACCCATCAAGACGTAACCTGTGTTCGTAATAACGTTCAAGGCTCTGTTACCTATCAAGACATAACCTGTGCTCGTAATAACGTTCAAGGCTCTGTTACCCATCAAGACGTAACCTGTGTTCGTAATAACGTTCAAGGCTCTGTTACCCATCAAGACATAACCTGTGTTCGTAATAACGTTCAAGGCTCTGTTACCCATCAAGACGTAACCTGTGTTCGTAATAACGTTCAAGGCTCTGTTACCTATCAAGACATAACCTGTGTTCGTAATAACGTTCAAGGCTCTGTTACCTATCAAGACATAACCTGTGTTCGTAATAACGTTCAAGGCTCTGTTACCCATCAAGACATAACCTGTGTTCGTAATAACGTTCAAGGCTCTGTTACCCATCAAGACATTACCTGTGTTCGTAATAACGTTCAAGGCTCTGTTACCCATCAAGACATAACCTGTGTTCGTAATAACGTTCAAGGCTCTGTTACCCATCAAGACATAACCTGTGTTCGTAATAACGTTCAAGGCTCTGTTACCCATCAAGACGTAACCTGTGTTCGTAATAACGTTCAAGGCTCTGTTACCTATCAAGACATAACCTGTGTTCGTAATAACGTTCAAGGCTCTGTTACCCATCAAGACATAACCTGTGTTCGTAATAACGTTCAAGGCTCTGTTACCTATCAAGCATAACCTGTGTTCGTAATAACGTTCAAGGCTCTGTTACCTATCAAGACATAACCTGTGTTCGTAATAACGTTCAAGGCTCTGTTACCCATCAAGACGTAACCTGTGTTCGTAATAACGTTCAAGGCTCTGTTACCTATCAAGACATAACCTGTGTTCGTAATAACGTTCAAGGCTCTGTTACCCATCAAGACATAACCTGTGTTCGTAATAACGTTCAAGGCTCTGTTACCTATCAAGCATAACCTGTGTTCGTAATAACGTTCAAGGCTCTGTTACCTATCAAGACATAACCTGTGTTCGTAATAACGTTCAAGGCTCTGTTACCTATCAAGACATAACCTGTGTTCGTAATAACGTTCAAGGCTCTGTTACCTATCAAGACATAACCTGTGTTCGTAATAACGTTCAAGGCTCTGTTACCTATCAAGACATAACCTGTGTTCGTAATAACGTTCAGGGCTCTGTTACCCATCAAGACATTACCTGTGTTCGTAATAACGTTCAAGGCTCTGTTACCTATCAAGACATAACCTGTGTTCGTAATAACGTTCAAGGCTCTGTTACCCATCAAGACATAACCTGTGTTCGTAATAACGTTCAAGGCTCTGTTACCCATCAAGACGTAACCTGTGTTCGTAATAACGTTCAAGACTCTGTTACCCATCAAGACATAACCTGTGTTCGTAATAACGTTCAAGGCTCTGTTACCCATCAAGACAGGTTACGTAAATTTATAAATAAAACATCACTGATCGAAACATAACATCCATTATTTTGTATATAATAGGTCTAAGGTAAATTGAAAATAACCTGGCATGTTCCATTATTTTAACACGTAGTTTTTCGAATGTAATTTATTAATATACACTAGTAAAAACTGACATATCTTAATGCTTCATTTTACTGTGTAATATTATAGATAGAAAATCACCAGTTACATTTTCACTAATATATAAACAGTACAATTTTTGCTTCACAGAAAATCCTCTCAGTATTGTATAGTTATTATCCTAAAACTGACTGGTGGGTTATATTGTAAGTTATATTTGCAGCAAGTGTTATGTGAGAGTGATGCAGGTACTCTGTAATGATCGATTAGACTTTATTGAAGCGAACCAGAGTTATACTCAGAATGTTTTTATAATAATAATAAATATAATAATAATAATAATAATAATAATAATAATAATAATAATAATAATAATAATTAATAATAATAATAACAATTAATAATAGTAATAACAATATTAATAATAAATTAATAATAATAATAAAATAATAATATAATAATAATAATAATAATAATAATAATAATAATAATAATAAAATAATAAAATAATAATAATAATATAATAATAATAATAATAATAATAATAATAATAATAATAATAATAATAATAATAATAATAATAATAATCTTTATTTCTGCAAGTACATGTACAAGGTATACAGGCCCGGCTGACAAGCCCGGCTTGTTGTGCAGAACATTTCGGGCAATTTGGGCCAATTTTGTCCCAGGATGCGACCCACACCAGTCCACTAACATCCAGGTACCCATTTTACTGATGGGTGAACATAGATAACCAGCTGTTTCCACCCCTTTGCTGGGAATCGAACACGGACACCTATCCATGAGAAACGAGAGCTTTTGCCACCAGACACGGGGCACCGTGGATGACAAACAAAGAGAGGAAGAACTTGGGTAAGACGGAGTCCAAAAGAAGAGAGAAGCAAATGGCGACAAGTGGCAAAAGTTATTTGTGTGAGTTTCAAAAGAGATTTCTTATATCACATAATGATGAGAACGTTGTGAGATCGTAGAACTTTACAGATCTATATTAGTCACCAACATGACATAATGATGAGAACGTTGTGAGATCGTAGAACTTTACAGATCTATATTAGTCACCAACATGGTCTCTTGATTATCAACACTTAATAACTCTACGAACTGTTAAGGAGTGCCTCCGGCAAAAAAATGTAGCTTTTTTGTTTACCGTCCGATTTCCTCCAGTTTTGGTGCACAAGACAAAGTGTTTTCACTCATTCTTGAAAATATTTATCAAAAATATACCTCAAACGACAACTGAGAAAAGACTGAAAAAGACTGATTTTCTGAAAAATGTCCTTGTCTCAAAAATCATTCCTATATGGGACATCGTAAGGTTGTTTGGACACTTGGTGCCGAGAGAGCAATGCTTAAACTAATTTTAGGCAACGCCTTTTCTCTAAATAACGTATCTTTATATAAAAAAAAAAAAATTTTTTTTTAGTTCCTGGAATACTGCAAAAAATCTGCCCTTTACTATATTATTATTTCCTTCTAACAATACACTACTTACCATCCACCAAGCGAGAATAGATCCAACCACAACCTCCCTTCCAACTTCCACATCTCTTGCACATAAGCTCTTCAACCCTCCATCAGTACTTCCTAATCTTCGTTTCAGCTTGGCACTAATGTATTGAATTATCCTGTGCAAAATTCGTAGTTAGAATATAATATGATGCATTTAATAATTAATTACTACATCTAATACTGTAGTGATATTTTGGCCATAATTACTTAAATAATAAATAATACTGATCATTCCCTACATCCAATACTTTAAGTGATATGTTTGCTCTTAATTATCTAACTTAAGTTCTATTTTCCTTCATATTTTAACTGAACTGAGTCTGACTTGACTTAGTAACATTTAGTTCGTCAGGGTAACAATAAATAATATTACATTATCTTACAAATGACAAGCATATGACTTTTTATAATTTGACACATTTTGTTGTTGCATCTATCAAGGTTTTCATCAACACTCCATCATTATTACAAATCTTTCTATCTGTAAATGTGTTTTTCCACTGAATTCTCTGCCACACAGTTGTTAGGTACATCAAGTAACCACTTGAAAATGATCCAGGACTACCCGAAATGACGACAACCTTTCCAAAATTTTGGGTTAGTTGTAAATTATTTCAGCAAATATATTGCGACTTTTACTCTTCCATCGTTAACATAGAAGCACATTAACAGTATTTCATTGTGTATCTTTCCCAGCGGGAGTGTGAGGATGGTGCCTGTCTCCAGTACTGACATGGACCGTCTTCAGGGCATATCCATTCACATCCCAAGCTTCCTGAAAGTGGGACCAGAACGTGTCACATTGAGTTCAGTCTTCACTGACTGGTGCTCCAAATACGAAAACTTCCCAGTTTACCAAGATGACACCTGGGTCGTATCTTACCCGAAGTCAGGTTAGTACTGTACCCAGTGTGGCTTGTGAGTTTACATCTATGGCAGAACTCACTGTCAGCCATGTTGTCAAAGACTGGGCAGTTATCAGCAGACAAACGATAATCTAAATAACTCCTTGTGTCAAATTATATTTTTGGCTTCAAATTTTTAAACGATTTTTTTTTTGTATTAGTGGTTCAGGATATGTACCTATATGTTCACAGCTACATCTTGATGACCAACAACACACTGTATTTCATGGAACACTTACAAGAAGACATAAGTTGCTGCTTGAACAATACCAGTCAGTACATTGTGATCCAAGGTTGTAATGTTTCTACATGTCTAGTTTTGGAACGAAGTATAATTTTTTGGGATTTTGATCCAGTTAAAAAAATGAAAAATGGGAGAGGACATTCTTGTAGTTGTTTGTGATCCACTTCAAGTTTACTCTGTTCTGATACTATATTAGTTCTTAAAACATTTACTGTATAACATTCAAACTAATAATAATGACAATCATTCCAGTTTATTGCCATTTCAAGCATATAATGTTATACTAAATTATTAAAAGCAAATTCTACCGATGCACAACTATACGATGATCATTTATTGTTTTGAATTAGTGGTAACACCTAGCAGGGATAAGCCACCGGAAGTTTATTTAGTTACAGTTCATCAGTGTAAGGAAGAACTTGATCTGTTTTCAAATGAAGAAGCTGGCAACCATCTTGTTTCATTCATCTTCTTGCTTAGGAATGTAGCTATTATTTTTTTATCAAACCGGATGCATCCCACAGAGGCAGGGTCACCTGAAGAGAAAAGCCAAACAAATTCTTTTTAAAATTAATAATTGATAAAGGAGAAGGTGTTGCTAGCATCTTGCTCCCGGCATTTTAATCGCATCTTATGACACACATGGCTGACAGAGGAAGAATTATTTTTCACTTCCCCATGGGGATAAGAGGAAATAAAGAGGAACAAGAACTATTAAGAAAATAGAAAACAACCCAGATGGCTCTGTATATATATACTTGTACATGCATGTGTAGTGTGACTTAAGTGTAATTAGAAGTAGCAAGATATACATACCTGTTATCCCGAGTGTTTATGAGACATAAAAAAACACCAACAATCCTACCATCATGTAAAACAATTACATCTTTATGTTTGACACACTTGGCAGGACGGTAGTACCTTCATGGTGGCTGTTGTCTACCAGCCTACTACCTACCTATTATTATTATTATTATTATTATTATTATTATTATTATTATTATTATTATTTATTATTATTATTATTATTATTATTATTATTATTATGTTTGACACACTTGGCAGGACGGTAGTACCTTCATGGTGGCTGTTGTCTACCAGCCTACTACCTACCTGTTATTATTATTAATATTATTATTAATGTTTGACTCACTTAGCAGACGGTAGTACCTTCATGTGGCTGTTGTCTACCAGCCTAACAAACCTAGCTATTATTATATCATCATATTATTATTATTGTTTTAGTAGTTGTTAAAGATTAGCCGTATTCATCCGGCCCGGGCCTTTTCCAAGTGTGCCCGGCCTTGGCTCCCTCTTTAGGGAGTGTCTGAGACCTAAGTCTCCCATGGGAGGAGGCACAAGTACCTCCTCATCTTTGGGACCAACTGTCCCAAGGCCTAGCCACAAGCTAGGCCTCTCTGGTCTGCCATCCCGCCCAAGGGGGCAAATGGGAATGACATCTTAATGAGCTAAAGGCTCGGTCTCAGGCACCTACCCTACCCTAGAAGGGGTTAGGCAGGTGTCGATGTTATTGTTGTTATAATACTATTATTATTATTATTATTATTATTATTATTATTATTATTATTATTTATTATTATTAATTATTATTATTGGTTGTTGTTGTTGTTGTTGTTGTTATTATTATTATTATTTTTTATTATTATTATATTATTATTATTATTATTTTTTATTATTATTATTATTATATTATAATAATAATAATAATAATAATAATAATAAAAATTATTATTATTATTATTATTATTATTATTATTATTATTAATTATTCTGTTTACATACAATAGTATTTTACCTTCAGTGTTAGAAACTATGTTATAAAAAAAATAATATTATGAGGATAAAAAAACGAAATTATCATACAGTCGTACGATAATTACAAAAAATATCGTACATCGAGATAAAGACGTAATTATTGTGCATATAGGATAAGTATGGTAGGAATGGCAACAATGACTACGTTAGATGGTCTTCAACACCAACACCTGGAGTACACGGCTCCACTTTATGTATAATCTTATACAGTTTTATGTATCTCTTTCACAACCCATTACATTTTATTGAAATTTATTTTTTTGCCTTCGGATTTTTTATGCAGCAAATTTATAATTTGCAGTGAAACATCAAAACTCCACAATTATTAACCTGCTCAACCATTCTTTATTATGTCATATAATAGATCTGTGTATTTCAACAAATGCAAATAGCCTCATGCAAGTACTTATAAATTAAATACAATAATTAAATACAGCAGCTTGATAATAAAAGTGTTAGGAGCTGTAGCTTGATAACCTTAAGTACTGTTTTCTAGGAACAACCAATATCTGTAGCCTGATAACATTCAGTGTATTGTGTTCCTCAAACCATCTGGGCCCAAGAGCTGCGGCTTGATTATAACCATCAGTGCTTGAGTAAGCACCTGGGCCAAGAAATTGTAGCTTCATGAAAACCATCTGCATACTGTGTCCCAGGAACCAGCTGGATCCATGAGCTGTAGCTTGATGATAATCATCAGTGTATTGTGTTCCAGGAACAAACTGAGCCCAGGAGCTGTAGCTTGATGCTAACTATCAGTGTTTTGTGTTCCAGGAACCACCTGGGCCCACGAGTTTTAGCTTGATGATAACCACCAGTGTTTTGTGTTCCAGGAACCACCTGGACCCAGGAGCTGGTGTGGTGTCTCATTAATGATCCAAAATCTCCAGAGGCTAAACTTGAACTGAAGAAGAGGTTCCCATTCTTTGAGTAAATATCACAACTCTTGTGATCAATATTTGTTATTAACTGTTATTTAGTGTATTAAATATTCTAGAAACTATTAAATGATCTGATGTAGTCACTTCATATATATATATTATAAAATATATATATATATATATATATATAATATATATATATATATATATATATATATAATATATATATATATATATATATATATATATATATATATATATATATATATATATATATAATATATTATATATATATATATATATATATATATATATATATATATATATATATATATATATAATATATATATATATAATATATATATTTTATATATATATATATATAATATATGCAAAACAACCACTCTGAAAGAATAGAGAAAATTCCAAGCGCTTTCGTAATTACTCACATTATCAAGGAACTATGAAAGTGAAGCATCCAAGGAAGCTAATAAGGGTCCGGCCAGCACCTCACTATCAGATCCCACAACGGTTAAACAGCTGACGCGCGGCGAGCCAACTTGGAAAGGTCCTTTGCACAACTCACCCCCAAGCTATTCTACCCAAGAAAATTTAAAAATTATTTGTCCAGTGTATTATTAAATTCTTCCCAAATTCTATTAATTATAAATGGATCTAATTTATATAAACCAAAGGAAATATTCATATTATTTTCAAAACTGCTTTTTATGAAACAAGATTCAATTATATTCCTGTCGACCATGGACTTGCTTGATACTACTTTCTCAACTTTTTGAAAATCAATTGGATGGTTAAAATCTCTTACATGAATAAATAGAGCATTGGAATCTTGTCCAGTTCTAATGCTATATTTATGTTGTTTTAATCTTAGTTCGAGATTTTTACCAGTTTGACCGTAATAAACTTTATCGCAAATTTTACAAATAATCTTATAGACACATACATCAGCATTTTGGGGGGAATTCTTTATCAAAAGTTTTTTTACTGTATCAAGATTTTTGAATACATCTTTAATATTAAAAGTCTTAAGAAGAGAAGGCATATCAACCAAGTTTTCATGGTAAGGGAGAACCAACATATTTTTAGTTGAATAAGGCTGGTTGCCCCTTTTTGGATTATAAAAAGTGTTTCTAGCAACTTTAAAAGATTTATCAATTACATTTCTTGGGTATTTTAAATCATTACCTATTTCATAAATTTTGGATATTTCCTCATCTATGAACTCAGGACTACAAATTCGTAAAGCTCTCAAAAACATTGATGAGAAAACAGACAGTTTGACTCTATCTTGATGCGAGGAATAATAGTGGACATAGGAACAGTTATTTGTAGGTTTTCTGTAAATTTTAAATTTGAATTCATTATTACCCTTAATAATTAAAACATCTAGAAAAGGCAATGAGTTATTTCTTCAAACTCAACAGTAAAGTTTATAGAATGGGCTAAGCTATTTAATTTTCCAAGAAAATGGTGTATATCTAAAATTTTTGGGCATAAGACACAAAAATATCATCAACATATCTGAACCATTTAGCTCTATTAGGGAGGATTGTGTTAAGCAACCTTGTTCAAAAAAATTCCATGTATAGGTTACTAAGAACAGGTGAAAGAGGATTTCCCATTGCCATACCAAACTTCTGAGTGTAAAAACTTATCATTAAATACAAATTTTGCATCAAAAATGCAAAGTTTAATAAGTTTAATGATAGTAGGAACTGGCAATGGTAAATCATAGTTAACGAGATCTTCAGATAAGAAACTTAATAAATCATAAACAGGAACTTTCGTAAACAAGGAAGAACATCAAAACTAACCATGTAAACTGGACAAGATTCCAATGCTCTATTTATTCATGTAAGAGATTTTAACCATCCAATTGATTTTCAAAAAGTTGAGAAAGTAGTATAAAGCAAGTCCATGGTCGACAGGAATATAATTGAATCTTGTTTCATAAAAAGCAGTTTTGAAAATAATATGAATATTTCCTTTGGTTTATATAAATTAGATCCATTTATAATTAATAATTTTGGAAGAATTTAATAATACCTGGACAAATAATTTTAATTTTCTTGGTAGAATACTGTGGGGGTGAGTTGTGGCTAAGGACCTATCCAAGTTGGATCGCCCGCGCGTCCCACGTGTTTAACCGTTGTGGATCGGATAGTGAGGTGCTGGCCGACTCCCTTATAAACTTCCTTGGATGACTTCACTTTCATAGTTCCTTGATACTGGATAGTCCACGAAGCGCTTGGAATTTACTCATTCTTTCCAGAGTGGTTGTTTTTGAAATCACCTGTTTACTGTGATCTAATGCAATATATATATATATATTATATATATATATATATATAATATTATATATAATTTATATATATATATATAATATTATATATATATATAAGATAATATTTATATGTCGTGCCGAATATGTAAAACTGGTCATTAGCATGAACTCATTTAAAATTAAGTAATTTCTAAAATTTTCTCTTTATACATTTAAATGTATTTTTTTTCATTAAGTTGATGTAAAAATTTATAATTTTGCACCAAAAGACCCTAGAAAACTTCCTCTTAACCTTATTTTATAACAAGAACAATTTATTTTAGCCTAACCCAACTAAATATATTTTAGATTTGTTTACAATAATTAAATACTAACAAACACAATGAAAATAATTTTTTTCGTTAGGTTCAAATGATTTTTAGCGAAATTATGCATACACAAATTTTCACTTGTCCTAATGGCAAATGACGTTGCTATTAAGCCAGATGGCAAAGGTTTCTGCCTATTCGGCACGACGTTTATATATAATATTATATATTTATATATAAAATATTTATATATTATATATAAGAATTATATATATATTATATATATATATAATATAGATATATATATATATAGATATATATATGTAAATATATACATATATAATATATATATAATATATTATATTAACTATAGATATTATATATAATAATATATATAATATATATATATTATTATATTATACATAATGATATAATATATATATATATATATATGATATATAAAGATATAATATATATAGTATAATATATATATATATAATATATAAATATATATATATATAGGAAGATGGGTCCACCTCAGGTTTAAATTGTTGGACCCATACCTCGGAGAAGTGATATAAAAGGCTTCAAGAAGCATATTTGGATTTCTTCCGAACCATTTGAATATTCCACTTCCCCTACCACCCCATCCTTTTAAACTATTTTTTTTTTACAATAGGAATATTTTATTACATAATAATGGCACAGAGAATTTAAGAATACATTTTGATATAAAGGTGGCATATATATATATAATATATATATATAGATATATATATATATATATATATTATATATATTATATATATATTTATATATATATATATAAATATATATATATAGAATATATATACTTGTTTACGTGTATATCACCGATTAATATGGCGAAAATCTCATCCACTCCTCATAGCTGGGGCGTGTGGCCCAAAATTGCAGCATGCATTACCCCTTTTAACCAGCCGCGCTGAGCCGCTGAACAGAAAACTAGCTTGCCCTGTGATTCCCTATTTTTACCCTGATGATCTTTTTCCCAACTCCTTAAGGAAATTAGATGCACTCTTTCCCAAGAGCCAAAGGTCACTGAGCCTATGGGAACAAACATATAATGATGGGCAAGTTCTCCATATTTTCTAGACTTTTGGGACTCCCTAAAGCTGGCACTGCCCCTCCTTCCTCCCTGGTGTATTGGAGATAGTATCAGCCAAGGTAGATGCACATGTTTTAGTTCCCCAAAACCACCTGCTTCCCATCTGTCCAGGCTTGAAGGGTATACCATCTGGACGCTTCTGGCTGCCACCCAGATCTGCATAGTTGGGGTGGCTCCCTTACTGCTGGGCATCCAGCTGTTGTGAGGCTCCTCTTGATAATGTTATTAACCTCCTCATGTCTTGCAATCTTCCCTCGGTTTTACGGCACACAAGACCATGGTACCCGAATCGGTCTGCTGCTTCACTGCCACAAATACACCTGTGTTCGGCGAGAATAGGGGCGGCCCAAGTCGAAGGGCAAAAACCGATGCGGATGGTCTGTGGGTCGAGGCGTGTGCCAAGGCTGGAGTTGGGAACAGCCAACAGAAAGTCCCCACATGAGGGGCTCTCACTGCCAGCAGGGGGGCTCTATCCTTCCCCTGACACACTCTGAACATCTTTGAGGCTATGTTTTCCACTATTGGACCATCCCAGTGCGATTGTTTGTAGTTTTTGGGGGGGAGCAGGTCTGGTTTCTGAGCCCGTTAGATTATCCAGATCATTGCTCCGTCAATGAATTTTTGGTCCTGGGCTCCAATCTTGTCCCTAAGATGTTCAGGGAGAATCGCTGCTACAAGCTCTCTGGATGCAAACACGAGGACAGAAAACCCAGGTAACGCAATCTGTGATGACTTGCGGACACCAATGCCTCCTAGTCTGACGGGAATGTAGCTTGGTTCCACTGCCCGTCTTCTAGAGTAAGGTTTAAGTACTTTCGTAAAAAATCTGCCTCAGAATACTGTCATATTCGTGCAGTATATATATATATAATATATATATATAATATATATATATATATATATATTATATATATATAATATATATATTATAATATATATTTATAAAATTATGTATATATGTCGTGCCGAATAGGCAGAACTTGCGATCTTGGCTTAAATAGCAACGCTCATCTTGCCAGATAAGACAAATGAAAATTTGTGTATGCAATAATTTCGGGCCAAAATCATTTTGAACCTAACGAAAAAATATATTTGATTGTGTTTGTTTAGTACTAAATTATTGTATACGTATTTAAAATATATTTAGTTGGGTTAGGGTAAAATAAAATTTCTCTTGTTATAATAAGGTTAGGTAAGTTTTTTAAGATTCTTTTGGGGGAAAATTAAATATTTTTACATTAACATAATGAAAAAAATATATCTTTAAACTTATAAGAGAAAATTTCAGA